AAATGATTCTTATATTTACTAATTTACAAATAAAATTTTTGTTATAATTATTTCATTTTGTTAACTATAATTTAATGCTTTTATGAATTGTGTGATCATTTTATTAAATTTTTTAAATAAAACTTTTCTGAGATGTTTTTTCAATAACTTATTATTATATCAGATAAATGGGTGCAAAGTATTAGAAATCATTGAAAAGACAAATTGCATTAAAACTATTTTGTTCTCAAATTTGATCAAATGTCTACGAATATTTTAAACCATATAAATTTAACCCATTAACCACTAAATGTGTAGTAATTAAGAGTTCATTATTACTGTATATTTATAATTACAGAAGATTTACATTTACGGTAATATTAAAGTAGCTCTTTAAAAAAATCAACATATCACACTAACTATTAATCATTTAGACTCTAAATTTTAGATTTAAATTAAAATATTATATAAGGAAGATTATACGGTACTATTAGCTAGGACATACAGAAAGGTCTGTCTTAACTAAAATGTAATCTTCTCGGGAATGGCTTAACATTTTGAAAAGCGGTTTGATTAAAAATACGAGAATTTGGGACTCACTGTAGATTTTCCCTAAATTCATGAAATTCAAACCTTCAGAACTTTTTTATTTGGGAACAGATTTGATTGATATATGGCTCATATGAAGGATCAATTGTTCCTCTATGGACAGACCCCACACATATCGGATGCGGACCGGAAATCCAGCCTCGGAGGTGGTCCCATATTTTAAGGGAGCCGTAAAAATAAAATTGCGTAATTTTTATGGTAAATACTCTTACATATCCTCTATTAAACAAAACAAACAACTTTTCAAAATGTTAAGCCATTCCCGAGAAAATGAAATTTTAGTTGAGACAGACTTTTCTGTATGTTAGTAATTGAATAGAGAACTACCAGTATATCATACAAAACTGCCTAAAGTAACACCAATATTAATATTGCATTAACAGAAAGTGTGCAAAGTTTTAGGAAAATTCTGAAATCCTTGAACTTGCGAGTGATAGATATGGCTATAAAATTATAGACAACTAAACATATTTTGATAAAAGACTTATTGATGACTGAGAGGGTCTTATCTAACAACTAATACAAGTTTTCCAACGAGTGGTGTATTAATAGTCGAGTCGTAGACCTAATGTTATAATAGTCTATAAAAGTGTGAACCGGAGAGCAGTTGCGTCGAGACTTGAGATTCATTCGTAGCTCACATTCAGCGCATCACTCCATCCCTACACCTCTCAGTCACCACTGAATCACTGTTTCAGACAAACTTTGATTGAGTCTACAATTTAAGACAATTTGTCACTAATTATCAAATATGTCTCGATTTGATTGTGTGGAGAGCGGACCCGCCATCGAGATCTTCGCTCTGAGCAAAGCCTTCAAAGAAGACACTTTCCCTCAGAAGGTTGACCTTGGAATCGGTGGTAAGCCATACTAAGCCAGGTCATTGTGGGACCCTTTCTAGGCCTCCCTATTGACCCCTCTCTAGTCATAAGTATGTGAAGAGTTAGTAAATGTGTGTATCGTGTGAATGGATGACAGCCTACCGGACCAATGAAGCCAAACCATGGGTTCTTCCCGTAGTCCGAAAGGCAGAGCTGGAGATCGCATCGGATGAGAGTCTGAATCACGAATATTTGGGACAATTGGGGGACGAGTTGTTCTCCTCGTCCGCCACTAAAATGCTTTTGGGATCCGATTCCAAAGCCATCGCCGAGAATAGGGTTTGTCTGTCGAGTCCTCTGTATCTTCATTATCTCAATGATGTGTTGGTTTTGCAGGCGTTTGGCATACAGTGTCTCTCAGGGACGGGTGCCCTCAGGATTGGCGCCGACTTTCTGCGTCGAAACGCTGGCTTCAAAATAGTCTATATCTCTGACCCGTCGTGGCGTAAGAATCCATTCTTCAAAGTGTCGGTTATATCATATACTCACCACAAGAACTTATGTTTGATTGGCAGCCAATCACAGACTACTGTTCCTTCACGCGGGCTTTCAAGAAGTGCGTACATATCGGTATTGGGACGCACCTAACCGTCAGCTCCACTTCGATGGTATGCTCGAAGACTTGCGTAACGCACCCGAAGACTCGGTGGTTGTACTGCACGCCTGCGCTCACAACCCGACGGGAATCGATCCGACGGCCGATCAGTGGAAAGCCATCGCAGATGTGATGGAAGAGAAGAAATTGTTCCCATTCTTCGACTGCGCGTATCAGGGATTTGCTTCTGGAGATCTGGACAGAGATGCCAACAGTTTCAGGACTTTCGTCGACAGAGGATTTGAGACGTTATGCGCGCAGTCTTTTGCAAAGAACTTCGGTCTCTACAGTGAGTTGTGTTTAACTCTTACGTTGTCTTAACCAACAGTAGTGTTGACATCTGGATATTCCTCGAAGTCAAGCAATTGAGTCTTAATTATATTAAACTAAAATTTGTTTGAAATGAATCAATCAGATGAACGCATCGGTAACTTAACAGTTGTGCTGAAGAACCCATCGCCCGTTGTAAACGTGAGATCACAGATAACTCTATTGGTGAGAGGGAACTACAGGTAAAATTGTGGCCATTAATTGATGTCTGATGATAATAATGAATATTCCATAGCAACCCTCCAGTCCATGGGGCCCGCATTGTAGGCAAAGTATTAAATGACGCCCAACTCAACCAGGAATGGTATGCAAGCAATAAATGTTGTGATTCTCAGCTAACTTGAGTTGAATTTGAAGGAAAAATTGCATAAAACTAATGTCGGGTCGTATCCAAGACATGAGGAAAGTATTGCGTGAAAACATCGAAAAGTTAGGAACTCCTGGAAAGTGGAGTCACATCACAGAACAGATCGGAATGTTCTCCTATACGGGTCTCAATGGTCCGCAAATCAAGCATTTGGTGGACAACTACCACATCTACCTTCCAAAGGATGGTCGCATCAGTTTGAGTGGAATTAACACCAATAATGTTGAATACGTGGCCAAAGCCATCAACGATGCCGTCAAACAGTTCCCGTAAACTGATGCCAACTATAGCTCCAAAACACTCATTTCGGGCAATCTATTGGTTTTAGCAATAGTCTAATGAATTTATTTTAATTAATATTAGTCTTAATATTAGTCTACAGTAATAAGATTTGTTATGCAATTAAAGGTTTATTTCGTAATTATTAGAAATAAATTACATTTTAATTAAAATAAAGTTTTTTGTTTTATTAAAACCTCAAATAAAAATTTATAGATTATGTGTAATTATTTTAAATTTACTTTAACAGTTAGAGTCTAACTAAATTTAATAGAATCTAATATTTGATAAATTCGACCAGGATAATTTTAAAAATGAATATTGTGCTCGAGTTTATAAATTATGACTAAATTTATTACCATAATCTAATATTTATAGCCATCAAATGCAATCCTACTCTAAATACTGTATGAAATACATGTCCGTAAATACCCGTAATTAACAGTCCATCCATCCCTCCAATACATCCCGTATCCATACTAAACAACACCCACTTTAGCCTATGGAGAGAGAGAGAGAGCGAAGAGATTTGAGCCAAAAGCCAATCCTGACAGTCGTTTTGTCCACAAAACCGGAACCTCTGAACACATCAAACAATCAATGAGTTTAACACGCGTTTCATAAATCAAACATCAATT